CTGTGCATTTCACATCATTTTCCTTTACAACCATTCAGGCCTGATCCTGCAACTAACTGCAGACAGTGAGATTCTATGTGGCTGTGCTGGGTCCCACCTGTACACTCTCAGTTGCAGACCTCAGACTGTGAGTTCTCTTTGCTACTTAGTCTTGCTATCTAGTCTTTCAGTCGCAGAAGACAGAAAAACATTTAAAAATAGGTATCACTGATTGTAAATTCTCCAGACTGGTAGGTGATTGCAAGGAGGGAGGGTATAGGTTTAGTAATGGAAAGTTAACCATTATTTAATTACAAGACTCTAAGATGATGGTGTCTTTTTTATAATAGACTGCAATAGGAGATTTACCTGAACAGGGACAGAGAAAAGGCTGCAAATTTTGCTCCTACATTTTTTTTGTCATGGAGGGTCATCAGACCCTTCTCAGTACCTAATAGGTGCCTTCTGTTTTTCCTTTCCTTCCTCTTGAGAAACACAGTCACATAGAATTTACCTTGCCAGTCAAATCATTGAGTTTCTCCTACCCAAACCAGTGCCTTACTTCTGGATCTTTCCAATAACCCAATGCTTCACAAAAGTGAAAAAACCATAATGCAGTCTCATAATGTACCATAATGTACATAAGAAAACCCATAATGTACACAGTGTTGGGGGGTGGGGGGTGGGATTTCCTTCCAAACTCTTCTGGTGATCGGCTTATAAACTGAAGTGCGGCACTTGATTATGCCTCTTCACATATGACAACTAAAAATAATACCATTGTTCAGATAACTACCCTGCCCTTTTTTAAGTCCATCTATCAATTCTTGGCTGTTTATCACCATGTCAGAGGAGACGACTCTCAGAAATCCAGTCATGTCTAAGCACCACCAAGCCATTCCCTGTAATTCTACCCTAGCAAAAGTCAGTGCAGAACTCCAAACCCCTTGTAGCAAGTGAATACCTATGTCTGGAGAGTCTAACTTTAGCCCTCCTACAGGGTAGTGAGCTGAGCCCTACCAGCAGGCCACAGGGTCAACACAGTTAGGAGGGTTTAAAATAATATAGTTCTTTTGAGAATGCTTCCATATTTTTCACAAAATAGGAAATCCTAAAAGATTAAATTCTCTGCTCTGCTAAATTCAAACACAAGTGAGCTTCACAGCAGTAGCTGTTAACATTTGGTAATGATGCAATCAGTGCAGGGGAGGCATACAGCTTAGCCACTTCTGTACTAGTAACCCAATTACTCTGAAGACAAGGAGCCCACATGCATATAACCACTGCTAAATCAACTCCTTGTTGGTAAAGTAGAAGCATGTCATTGTACCCAGCCAATTTATAATGTTTTCTTTCATTAGGCAAATCCTCAGTAATATGACAGTCTTATGTAAAGCAATATTCATTCAACAGAGTTCCTAGAAAGATAAATCATATCAATGAGCCTCATAAAACTGATGTGTAAAATACAGCTTTACTTCATGAGAGGTTGCTCTGCATTAAATTAGCTTAACATTCAGGTGAAACTATGACAAAAAATGAAAATAACTAATTCCTTAGACTCTTAGCCCCATAAAAAGCATCAAAGAAAACTCAAAAAGATCATTTACTTGCAATCTGTCATTTGTTACGAACTCACTATCATGGGAGTTTTGCCTGAAAAAAGAAATAAGACAGACATAACTGGGCCCCTTATGTGCTAACCATAAATATGCTTTTCAGTCCCTGAAAATGTACGTTGTTAATTTGCTTTATAAGCACTGCCCCACATACACAGTAGTATGATTCACAAGCTACAAGTCTGTTGATATTTTTATCTGTAAACTATCAATGCAATGCTGATCATCACTAAGCTTGACATAAACAACCATTTTAAATATCAGAACCTGCCCATTCATCAACTTTATCAGCGACAGATTGAACTTTTCATACAACCCACATTTAACAAAACTAATGCTTTGCAACTGCAAAGATAGTGGTTTCTGTATTCACAGCTTTCATGCATTTTAACAACCTGTGTCTTTGGATTTCATATTCAATCTCCTTTTTTTGTCTGTAAAACAACTTAATTACTGAAGGTGGACTGGATTTAACATTAGGTTTAGATTTTCATTATCTAATTCGAGTAGGGATTCCTGCGCTAACAAATGTTCTAATGCTTTTGGTTTTTCAAAACTTCTTGGTAATATGTTCCTGCCACTAAATTTTGGAAATCTATTGTTTATGGATCTAGTTTTCTGTGACTCACTGAATTTCCACATATATTCTAACTTGATGTGTCATTAAACCTTGGATGGACTGGCAAGCAGCAGCCAGATGCCCCTTATCCCCCTCAGTGCAAACTATCAGTAAACCTTAGCATAACTTTACTTTGAGCCTTAAACTAACAGCACGTGAAAAGATTAATATGAATAAATTCAAAACGAATCAGATCCCTTCTTTAAATGTTGACACAGTATTATTTATATCCCATAAATACCTTCTTGACTAAAATTCATCCCAGGAGATTGGCATCTTGCCAGTTCTATTCATATTTACTGTATTTTTATAGTACAGTTGGCCAAGGATAATATTTAAGACAAAATATGCCTTAGGGTATATACAATATCTCTTATAGTTTTCCTTTTAAATCTCCTCATCGCTAAAAATATTTAGTCTGAACTTTATAAAATGCCCCACAAAGACCTATCAGCAATCTGTAGTGATATATAGCTGACTATGAGTATAATTAGAGCATATTTGTAATACTTGGGCTATAGTCAGTTACTGAATGCTAACAACGTTGTGGTAAAAAATAAAAAACTGAACCACTGATCTTTCCCATGCCTTCATCTCAGCAGCTTTTGACCTTCGCAGCATTCAAATTGATCTCATTCTCCCTTCTTATCACTGTCTTCCCAACCAGATCAGGAAATGCAGAGTTAAAAAAACCCCCTCAGAGTGAAGCCTAGGAGAAAGTGTATAAAGCAGCCAAAGCTGCGCTTTCAATTTGTTTCTTTAAAATATGGTGGAGCAATTTCTTTCTTTCTGTCTTTTTTGGAAAGGTTCATTCAATCCAGTATAACTAGAGAGCAGTGGAAAAACAGTTAACCTACTTACTCTGATGTTAGCAACAGCACTCGCACAGTAGTACTGGATCTGCTAAATGGCCTTCTGATCCCAAACTTCTGATGCACTCTGTTGGTAGATACCTGCAATCTACTTTATCCCTCCAAAACCTCCGATACCATAGCGCACAGCCAGTCAGTATTTTAAAAACAGATCCTCGTTTTGTCAACATGAGTCACCTCACACACCTCAGATATTTTAATTTGCTGGAAAGTGAGAGGCTTAGTTTGGTAGTAGTAGTCCTCTGTATGCTTGTCTGTAGGGGGAGAAGAGTCCGATTTGCAGTCAGGACCCACTGCGCTTTACCTTCAAAGACCCTCTGTTACAGGGTCACATCTATGTGTCAAGGAGTTACTCTGTACCACCTTTGTTTGTAAATGCTTGCTACCGTGTTCAGGGCACGACCTATTGGGTCTCAAAGCAAAGTGCTGACTTTCGCCAAAATACCATCAAGAGCTTTCTGTGTGGGTTGAAAGGAAACTTCTGTCTCCACATTATTCTCCAAGTTACACTGAACCTCTCCCGCATACATGAAAAAAAGCCTCTCTTCCCCGAGGGGAACAAGGGTGGAGTGTATTTATCATCGCTCTTATGGATGGTGCCATAATTACAATAATAAAATGGCTCTGGCTGCCAGGGTGTCCTGTACCTGATGCTGTCATTTAACAATAAAAGAAGAAGAAAGGCAGCTGCAGTGAGTGGGGTTCAGACACTTTGGCTGCCATCCTGGGACTACCGCATGCAAGACACAGCAAGCCCCAGTGCTACAACTTGTTAAACTAAAAATAAATGAAAAGTAAATGCAATTACAAACTCTAGGATAAAGTTACTAAGATGGCTGCATTATCTATTTAAACAAGACGTATGTGCTGTACAGAAACAGCAAGTATATAGGGCATCAAGGAGTGTGGGGGGTGAGGAGAGGGAGGGAAATGAAGAGTGGAACCGAGTTTTGGACAGAGTCATGGTGAAGTTATTTTTTTCTTCCTTCTGGTATTTAACCTTCCTTGGCATGACAGTCTAGATTTTTTTTAAAGCAGTCCTATGTTTTTTTTTCTAAATGCTCAACTCCACACCAAGACGCAAGGGCATGCAGTTACGATTATTATTCATCCTAACTGGAGTCTGTGAGATACGGGCGCAGAACATTTATTCCCTTTTACTGTGCACAATGTAGTGTGTATCATCAGGGAGTCATTAAAAAAACAGCAGAGGGACAGAGAGGGCTTCCAAGAAGTGAGACTTTATCAGGGAGGGGGAAAAAGGCTAGGGGGGAGGGGGGGGCTGTACCTGCAATGAAATTCAGCCTTAACTAGAAAGGACCTCTGCTCCACTGGCGAGATGTCCCTGCATCTGTCCTTTCCTAGGGTACCAATTTAAGCTGCCGTCTTCAAACAGATGTGCTGGGAGGGGTGAGGGCAGGCAGAGACAGTCAAAGCAGCTAGGGAATGTTATGCCTTTATATTCTGGTTTTCTTTTCTTTCCCTTAAGCGTAGGGGGAGATGGAAACCTGCCCGATCCAGGCACACTAAGAGAAACAACAGCAGTGGAAAGACACTGGGCTCGCGCTGGAGGCATTGGGAAAGGGCAAGGGGTGGGGAGGGGGGGAATTTGGAGGTTGGGGAGTGACAAGATAACCCTGGCACAGGGAGGCTTTGCTTGCTCGGGTACAGGAGGGGCTCAGTTTGAGCAAGCGTGGGGAGGAAGCGATGAAACTGAGCCCATGGGGAAGGGGCCAAGTCCCTGCGAGGGGGGGAAGGAGCCTAGGCAACTTGCGGGAAGAGCTGGGGAGGAGGATGAGAGCCAGAGGGACAGACCTGGAAGGCTTGGGGCAGTGGAGGTGGGGGGGGGACGGGACACATGAGATAGGCACGCGCGTGCACACACACACACACACACATATATGCACTTACTTTCGGGGTAAAACGGCAGCATGTCAATTTTGTAAACCTCTTTGGCATAATACTCCTCCTCGCTGCGCTCCCGCTCGCAAGTGGCGGCTCGGTGGTTGGCTTTCTCCTGCAGCAGGTCCCGGGTGCTGTTGTAGATGGAGATGACCTCCGGCGGCACCTCCTCGGGCTCGGGGTACTCGTCCGGGGGGCTGGTGAGCTTCAGCTTGCTCAGGATCTGGCCCCGGATCGCCTCGATCCGCTTGCGCATGAACTGATCCATGTCGAGGGTGCTGCAGGTCGACAGGCTCAGCGCCACGGCCGCCAGGTCCAGGCTGAGGAGCAGGCTCAGGAGGTAGCAGGGCATGGTCGGGGCTCGCCGCGGCGCCCACCCCACCGCCTCCTGCCCCGCC